TGGTGGTAGTGACTGGGATAGAAAGGTAAAACCAGTGTTTGTTTAAAAAGAAATACAGTACGTGTGAGTATAAGTTTTTATGAACACTGTGTCATTTTATATGAAATATTTCATCCTTTTATTGAATTCAACTAATAGAATGATATTGTGAGTTTAAGCTTTTGGATTAAAGTATCAAAAAATTTAGCCTGATTACGATGTTCTTTTAAAATTTGACCTTTTGTATTAGAGTGTCAAACTCATTACGTTAATATTAGAATATTTCTATTATGAAATTTGAGCTCTTGTATATTAGAAAGGCAAATTTAATACTTTAATATTAGAATATTTCTATTATGAAATTTGAGCGCTTGTATTAGAGTGGCAAATTTTTTTCCTTAATACTATAATATTCCTATTTCTAAATTTGAGCTTTGGTATTAGTAACCCAAATCAAGAATTTTGTTGTGAGAATCAAGTTGGATGCTTGAATTTTTTAAAATTTGCATTAGTATAATTTATTAAGAGCAAGCTTCGCTGATTTTTGTTTATCGTAAAGCACATACGTTTATTTCATTAAGTGTTTTAGAGAAAAAAAATACGTTTCGTCAATACTTGAATTTCAAATAAGAAAAAGGCTAGATTCAGCAGATTGATTTGAATTTTTGAATATTTGCTAAAAGCCTTTTAAAATTTAATTTTGAAACACTGTCAAAGAGTTTTTCTATTTCTAAAAATGTCATTTCTTCCAAGGGTAGAAAACAAGAATTAATAGACATAGCCGAAGAATTAGGTGAGGAAGTGCCGCTAACTAGCAAGGACCCAGAAATTATAAAAATAAAAGTCAATTTTTCAATGAGAAAGAAGTTAAATTAATTCTAAACCGAATAATTGCTGAACGTTAAAAAAATTGCATTGTTATCGGACTGCTATGTTTAATAAAAATATCATTTACATCTTAATTTATGCTATGATCTTAAACATCACTGCAGGGAAAGGCTTATTTTGATTATGATAAGTCAGATTAGCCTTTTCTTGCAGGTATATTTGTTTGCACAAGATTTCAGCTTTCAGCAATCCCAGTTTTTGGCTGCTTGCTTTACTCCATTTATACATTTATTTAATTTATAGACTTTGTATGCTTTTCCTGATGAAACGTAACCTTCTGGTTGCTTCATACATATTCCTTCTTGCAAGTCTCCATATAGAAAAGCTGTTTTTATGTCGAAAGAGTTTACATGCATGTTCTTTTCAGCTGCTATTACCAAGATAATCCTCATTGCAGTCTAGTTTAGGACTGGTAAAAATGTTTCATCGTTGTCGTGCCCAGACGTTTGGTAATATCCTTTAGTTACTAGATGGACTTTATATCTGATAACATTTCTTGAAGCATCGGATTTTGTTTTGACTCTCTATTTAGTTCCATTTGTTTCTTTTCTTTTGGAAGATCAACTAGTCGTTCTCATGTTCTATTTCTCTTAAATTTTTTCGTATCATCTTTTCTAGATTTCAACCACTTTTTTTTTTTTTTTTTTTTTTTTTTTTTACGAGAATGTTGTTTGTATGTGGCATATATATTCTGTTTTTTTTAGCGATCACTGTATCCAAAGAGAATTCCTTTTTCTGCTCTTTCATCCAATTTGCCCTTTTTCTGCTTTGGAACTAAGCAATACGCTGTGCTGCCGACACCTCTGATATATGATATATAAGCTTAAATTGTTATTATTCCAGAGCTCCGTATGGTGTTTTTTCGACTAATCTTGATGGCAGTCCGTTTTGTAGATGGAAGGCTATCATTACGGCTTCGCCCAAAAGTTCTCTTTTGAGTTCTGAATCGAGTAATAGGCATGCTGAAATTTCCACTATGTGTCGATTTTTTCTTTCTGCTTGACTGTTCTCTTGTGATGAAAATGCTACAGAGGTTTGATGTTCGATATCCTCTTCCTTTAGATATTCTTAAATTTCTTTGTGTATTCTCCTCCATTGTCTCTTCTTTTGGCTTCTTTCTATATTTGCTGTTTGTTATGGTTACGAATTGCGTTAATTGCGTTTAATTGCTGTTTGTTATGGTTACGAATTGCGTTGGAGCTAACTTCAGCAAGTAGACCGTTGTGTACCTAGAATAATCGTCGATGAATGCTATGAAGCATTTATTTCCTTTTGGTGACGTTGTGCCAATCGTTTTCTTAAATGTCCGAACGTATCAAGTCCAGAACTGAATTTGCTCTGTAGTTGTTTAGCTTGGGAATAGAAATTCAGACATTTGCTTCTGAATCAAAATTCGCATTTTTTATGTTTTTCAATTTCTCCCTCGATCCTTTTTCCAGTTGACACGTCATCATTCTTCAGCTTTGTGATTGCTTGATAATTGTGTCCTAGTCTTCTGTGCCAAAGATCTATGCTGCCTCTTCCTGTAAACTACAATTTTTTTTTTTTGTTTTTTTTTTTTTTGTTTTGTGATTTGATTATGTTATATAAATTTCCATCTGTTTTAGCAATTCCAATGGTTTAATTTTTCTCCTTTAATTTTCAGTATTCTCTTCAAATTTAACTATAAATCCCTAATTTGTGATTTTTCGTACGGATATTAATCCTTCTTTGAGATCAGGAGCGTATAAAACTTATAGAGTTTTTTTTGTAGTTTGTTATTTGCGTCGTCTTGATAATATAAGCATTCTTCTCCAATGCCTTCGGACTTCATTTGAGTAACATAAGCAATAGTTATTAGATCCATTTTGTTTCTGTCTAATTTCGTGAAAAGGTTTATATTATTTGTCATATGACAAGTCACCCTTGAAACCAAGCGTAAATCTTTATCTCTTAGACTCCACCAATATATAAAAAATTGTATTAAAGGACGTAACAGATTTCTCAAAATTTTCATGTATTCACATGACGCCTCTGTGAAGTCAGAAATAAACAGAAAGAATTATGAAGAATAAAAGTTTGATCTGTGAAAGCTACTGGAACGACAAAAATCCGTAATTTAAATTGAGAAAACGCATGTTTTATTTTCTCCAACATGTTATAGGCACTTTCCCCTTTCTTTCTGCATGCTTTCGTGGGTCAACGATGAATAATGAAAGAATTATACTTGCTCCCATTTTTACCTTTCCAGAAGTCGTATTATTTTACGGACACTTAATTTGCCCCAGCCAAGGTAGTGGTTAGCAACTCTGATTTCCGTACCAAAGAGCCCACGTTGGAAACCCGGAGTTAGATTAAGAAGTTAAATTAATAGGCACAGATGTTCGTAAATGTAGAATGTCTGCGCGGCATGGAGGCAGCTTAAATATGCCGCGAGCCGAAAGTCAGAATGGAGGAATACAGAAAAAGATGAAAGGAAAAGTGAAAATTTCCTTGCTTATTTTACTTTGAAAACATTTTTTAATTTATATCAGCTTGTTCTAAGTTGCTAAAGATATTTAGAAAAGTTAAATCGCAGATAGCGAGAACTTAATTGTAAATAGCTTGTAATCATAGATTTTTATGTTCGCAATTTGACGAGAAGCTGCTAGCAGTAAAAAAAAGAAAAAAAAATTGTTAAGAACTCGCAAGTTGCGAGAATTAAATTGTGAATATGTTTAGCCGAAAGACTCTTTGAATACTGAAATCTGTTAACTTAACGTTAAGATTTCGTGTAAAAATTTGGTAAATTGTAACTAAGCGATTATGACTGTTCATGTAAAGTGAATTTAAAAGTGATGTGTAAATATCTAAATGTTCATGTTAAAGTAGAAATGTTTAACCTTTGTGTTAGTGTCGTAAATTTAAACTTTTAAATGAGATAAATGTTAGCCTCCGTATAAATGAAATTGTGAAAGAATTGAATGCTTTAAAATAAATTATATGTGTGTTTAATGTTAGGCTCTTCAGTTGACCTTTTAAAAACAAATTGAAGCTTTCGCTTTGTACATTAGGAAAGTGGTCGCGTGTAGGGAGTCTTGTAAGGTCTAGTGTGTCAATGTTAACCAAGTTAGATGTTGTGTAGTGGTAGTTTTGTTCGCGGTATAACACAACACAAGTACCCTAAGTATATTTCACAACAATTGCTGGAGAGCATGGGGGAAACAAAAGTTTAAGTATGAATGAAAGTATATGAGGACCAAATGAGAAAATAAAAACGTAATTTTTAGAGTTATGGAAAATCTTTGTAAAATTCTTTACTAATGTTGTTTCCTTCGAGATATAGTAAAAAAAGTTGATATGTGTCCCAAACCGATGAAAATTTGTAAAATTCTTTTAAAAATTTTTCTAGCTTTAGTCTAGTTTTAGAATTGTTGTAAAGTTGGCCCTAACAACTGAAGTTAAAGTGAATTTAGTTAAGGAAAGTGTTGAAAGTGTGTAGTTAGAAAGTTTTCAGACTTTAAAGTCTTAAACAAGGTCGTTTAGAGACCTTTAGTTTGCGACTATTTAAAGTCTGGTCGGAAGGTATGTAAGGATTATGTTAATTTTATTAACAATTAAATTTTTGAGTTAAAACTTCTTTCCTGAGTAGTAAGCGCAGGTCCTCAGGAGCTCAAAGGATGCCGCCATGACGTAATAGAACAATGGATGACGCAATGGGGGCGTGGTCTCCGCCATCTTGGATTCCCCCGGAAGTGACGACACCAGCGCCATCTTGGATCACGTGACAACCGGAACTGACGTAGATGGAAGGAATGACGTAGACGGAATGACATCATCCAAGTTTCGTTTTGATTTTGTGGCAACGACCCTATTTTTCAAAGTTTTTATTTTTTGTGGCATCGACACTATATTTTTTTAGGTTTTGTGGCAACGAAGTTGTGCCATTTGTCTTCATTTAAATCGTGATGTTAGTTTAATTATTCCAATCTAGATAACCTGCTTCAAAACTTGATAATTATTAATATTTCCAATATTTCTCATTGTACGCGTAAGCTGGTGACCACCCACGTGACAGGCTCCTGCCAATCATCTCCCTTACTCCACCTACATTTCACAAAATTTGACAAGTTTCGCCTAGTTGGCGCGGCGTAAATCGCCTTAATTAAAAACTTAAGTACCAACGCCTTAGGGCAATTTACCAACAGAGACGGTTAAAGTAGCGGTTGGCTACTAATTGCCGCCTAGCCATTGACTCGATTTCGATTTCGATTTCATCATTTCTACTCTGATTCTTGCTGAGTGAACGTCATTTTGACTCTGCCATTTTCCTGCACCATTTCGTTTTCTTGTACACGATGTCTGCTAAACGAACTTATTCTGCATCTAATGTAAGTATTTTTCGCTTGTACCTATTTGGTTTTCTAGATTACTATTTTTAAACACGAATTTTATTTCTTTTTGAATGTTTTATTTATTTAAATTTTTAATTGCCAGGTTCTGTTTGAAGATCCTGACTTTCCTTTTCGGGACTCAGATGACGATGTAAGTTTTTACACGTATTTTTTAACGTATTCTTTTGAATGTGTTTTTATTTGAACGTATTTTATTACTATTTGAATGTATTTTAAACGTATTTTATTTTATTTTGATAGTTAATCGATGAAGTGGATCAGATTTTTCTGGAAAATCTTATGGATCTGCCCTTTGTATTATCAAGTGGGTTCCGGATTTGAGGTAAACTTTCGTTTCGTTATGATTCGATTAGAATATTTTTTCTAGTACTAGAAATGAATGTATTTATTTTTTATTTATTTACTTATTTTTAGACTTCTTCATCAGCTCGTGGGCCTGTATACATAGCCGGTTCCGATGAACGTTCGGTATATTTTTCTTTTTTACATGATTTATTGAAATAATGTATTTTTGAAAATGTTTGATTCTTAATGAAAACTTATCTTTTTTTAACTGTTTCAGATCGATGAGGCAATTGTTCTTACGGAAAAGTCTCGTCGACGGAACCATAAATATCAGGCCGAGGAGATTACCTTCCACGCTTGTGTGGACATCGAAAGACTGCCTCAAGGCGTGCAAGGCATCCCGATGGTCCGAATTCCTGACACCGTCAGAGAATTGTTCGAACAACTCATTCGCCGTACAGCAGCTGATTTAAATCCATCGGACCTCATCCGATTTTGCATCCAGGCAGAAGGTTTGGACAAACCGATCAGCACTTCTCTGATGGACAGTTTCGACTTTGACGGTCGAAAAGATTCTGGCTGCAGTCATGAAAGTACTGCAGTCCAAAGACAAAATCGAGTTGGATACAGGGTTCGCAGTGGACGTGATCACCATCAGAAGACCTATTGGTGCCGGACGAAACAGGAAAGTGATTAATATCTCAGTGGATAGACTCATTAAAAAGTCTATTTTGCCCATTCCCTATGACGATGAAGGACTGTGCTGTGCCAAAGCGATTGTTTATGCCTTGGCGCATTTGCACAAAGATACAAGTGCCATCAATGCCTTGAAAAATCATCGTCAGCCAACACTGATGAACCGTGCAAGGGAACTTCATTTAGATGCAAATGTGTCCCTAGGCCCCTGCACTTTTGCAGAGATAGCTATATTTGAAGATCACCTGGATACTCAAATTGCCGTCTTTTCTTCGGAGAACTTGAACCGAGTAAGTCATTATTTTTATCTCAAGATATTTTTTGCTTTTAAATGTTCATTATTAACTAGATGATAGTTCACATTTATTTAAATTGGTTCTTTTCTATTTATGATAAAATTTATTTCGTACGTGAATGATTTTTTAAAAAAAGTTTTCAATATTAATGAACTGAAAAATATTGAGACAACTAGCATTATAGTATTTTGATTATGTTGTTTCCATGTTAAAAAACTGAGTACACAGTGAATGTTTAAATTAACTTTATGCCTATATGCAATTTGTTTCGATGTTAAAATATAATGGATGAAAACTGAACGCATGGTGAAATTTTATTTTTAGAGAACTTTAACTTTTTTAATTAGTTTCTACGTTAAAAATATAATGGGGGAAAACTGAATGTTTTCTTTTTCTAAATTGTTCGACTTTGGAATTTATTTTTAGAGAAAAGTTTTTTCGTTTAGAAATTTAAAATATAACGTGGATCTTTACTTTTAGATTACTTTAAATTGTTAGATTAACTTTATATTTTATGCATGTTAAGCAATTAGCTTTGATGTTAAAAAAAAGATAACTTGTAAAAACGCATGGTAGAATTTTTAGATTCTTTTATATTTTATGCATGAATGCTATTTCTTTAGACGTTAAAAATATGCCTTATAAAAATGGCTAGTGAAATTTTAGACTACTTTAACTTTTAAGATTATATTTTATGCATATTCACGCATAAAATGCATGCATGTAGGAAATTTGTTTAGATATTCAAAATTTAGGGTGTATAAAATCGAAAGTTTTAGATTATTCGATTTAAGGAAAAGTTTTTTCTGTTTAGATGTTAAAAATAAAACTTGTGAAAGTTTTTACTTTTAGGTTACATTAACTTGTTTAGATTATTTTTATATGCAATTCGTTTTGATGTTAAAATGAAATGCACAATGAATTTTCAGATGATTAGGCATGTAATTAGTTTAGATGCTTAATGCGAAAGTAATTTTTAGATGATTATGTATATGATTCGTTTCGATGTTAAAAATATATCTAAAAGGGTTTGATTTTGGAATTTAAGCGAAAATTTTTATCTATGTTTTAGGTGGTCTATAAAGGGAAAGAGAGGGCACAACGGATCAAGTTTGTGGCTTCACGATGGGCATTATGACGTCATCAAATCCCTGAAAGGATTTTTCGGCAGTAACCATTATTGCACAGCATGTGAAAAGCCGTACGATCATCCGGAAAGCCACCGATGTGCCAATGCGTGCCCTATATGCCTAAGGGACTTGATTGCTTTCCAGGCGGCCCCAGCCTCAGCGATGCCAGGATTGTGCCGTCTTGCTGAGTGTCGACCTAAGCCTGGACAATTCGACTATGTTTTTTTGCCGACGTATTTTTTAAATTTTGTAAAAAAATATTTAATATGGCTTAGCTCAGTCGAGGCGAGTTAAGTTCAAAAAGGCTGACTATATTTTCGTCATGTCACATGTTATATTAAGTTGACCATTATTCTTCAGAACTGTATGTTTAGCTTAAAATGCTCGTTAAAAATGGGACAAAATGCCATAACGCACAAAATACCTTAGATGGAGCTCACACTGTAAATAAACTAGAAACTCTTAAATTTGTTATTAGTTTGCAAGTAGAAAAAGGGAATTTTTTAGTAAAATTTTTGGTGAATCTTCGGATTATGGTAACTTGGCGAAACTTTGGCGACCATCCCTGCTACAGCAACCTGCTAGTTTTTTTTTTTTTTGGATGCCATTTTGTTTTCACGAAGTAAAGCCATGTTTTATTTTATTTTTTTTTTTACTCAAAATTTTTTCCAACAATCTGCTAGCCGAATTACGCTTATGCTAGAACTTTTATGGAACAAAAGTGCTTAATCATGACGAAGATTAGGTGCGAAATTGGGAGGAAGTGTAGAATCGCCCACTGCTTGCTGCGTTTTTAAGAATTGCATATACACGATATCTATGTACACATCAACCTATTATAACTTAAAAAAAATCCCAGAATTGCACAAAAATGGCATTGTGCACACTTTGGTATTGCGCACACAAAAATGACTTTATCCATGTACACATTGACCTATTTTCACTTAAAAAATAAAAATTAAAAAAAAAAAAAAATTACAAAAATCCAATTCTTCTTACTCTTGTAAAAAGCACCAAACAAATAAGTGGGCGATTCTGCACTTTAGCAGCGAAATTGTTTCTAAGTGCTTATTAGCTAAAATCCTGTTTGGAATTTTCCGGAAAATGTCACATGACATGTCTCATGATCTCTCATTTCTCTGAGACAAAATAATCTGTGATTCGAACTGTGTACTTCTCAGATTATTGCTAAAATCCTAGCTAGTAACCTTTATCACCTTACCAAAATGTCACCAAACTACCTGTTACCATGTTCCAAAGATTAACCAAATTTTTGAAATGATCTTTCTGAAAATTTCTAAAATCATGTATTTAACAGCTTTTGACACTATAACATATTTTCTGAAGCAGGGCAGAATTTGAAAGGTGAAACCTCTTGGAAAACACACAAAGATGTCTTGTAGAATATAATACAGTATTATCAATTAATTACATAACTGCTTTTCTCTTACTTGAAGCAGAACTTTACTAATCTTGTGAGATATTTAGTCCAAGACAATTTAATTATAATATTGGGTACTTTTCCATTTCGCCGGCGCAAATCTCGCCAAGCAGACTTTATTGGCAGCAACATACAGTATACACATAAAAAATTTAACCAATGTTAGTTTTAAGAATTTTTTATTTTGAAGGCATAAGCATTTTAGTATGGTTTAAAATTTTGTAAAAAACCAATAAATAAAGACAATAAATTTGTAAAAAGACATTAATTTAAGAATTTACTTTGCTTTCATCCTGATTCGCCGCCGGTTCATATCACGTGACCCCAAGTGATCTTATCTCATGTAAACTACGCTACAAAAATATAATTCTCTCAGTAATTATCTACATTAATTTCAAGTTAAATCTTATGGAATACAAGTTCAAATGCAAGAATTATTTTAATTCGTACGAATAGCTTACTCAGAAATTATGTAAAACCGCAGTGCTTTACTTCGCTAGTGCATTCTCATTAGATTTGATGATGAATTTAACCCTTGATTTTCCTTTTCTATATCTTTGCGTTCAGGTGAGTGGTGTGATTGCATCGTAATTAATTACCGCGAATGGTCTTAGGGCAAAAAATTTAACTATCTTGTAAAAATTCTATGTAATTGTATGTCAGTATTGAAAGAAACAATCAATCTGATAAGAAATGGCTGCGACTTGTTTTGAAAATGAAGGGTAAAAGTTTGCCAGCGAAGATATTCCGTTTGGCATCAGTTGTACCATTATTGGCGACTTTATCGTTTGTGCCGGCAAAACGGAAAAGTACCTAATATTATTTTTCAAACTTAGGTATATTTATATTGTAATAGATGAGTAAGAATTAAGGATACAGTGGATATTTAGCTGAAATATGCTAATCAGCCTAAATGCTACTATTTATCCAGTAATGTTAAATATTTAGGAAGAGAAAAATTTCCACACTTTTTTTTAATAATTCAGGATCTTTATTGATTATTTATAATGGGGATATTTCCATTCTATTTTATTTCTTTCTTCCTGTTAAATAGTCTTAAAATTTGTTTTAATTAAAAATAAATAAAAGTTGTAGATTGATAGAAGCTTTCCGTAATGTGAAACAACCTTTCCATGAATACGTTTCTTCCCATAATGTTATGCAATTGCAACTTTAAAATATTAGATTATGTTAATTAAAATTTGGGTAAAATCCTATAAGAGCCCTTGCGACAAACTGGGAGAGTGCAGAATCACCCACTGCTCCGCACGTTTCTCAAAATTGCCAACTTGAAAATAGCAAGTAAAAAAATTGGGGTAGAGTAGACTTTAAGGTACCCCTTGTATTATGGTGAAGTTGTTGTTTGATTTATCACCAAGTTGTTGTTTCATTTATGGTAGCCTGAGTAGTTGAATGTTATGGAAACCCTATTGTGACATAATCAGGTGCATGATTCTGGGAAATTTTGAATCATGGGATGTTTTGTAAGCGTTTTTGTGGTGTGTGTTGGTTTGATTCTTTAGACAGTAGAATGGCCGAATGTAGTAAGATTAATTTGAAGTTTCTGTACAATTTGGAGCAAAAGGGGAAAAGAGCTTTAATTGACTGGTGTGTAAATGTAGGTTTACTTAGTAGCCATTATAAGTGTTTTGTATGTAGGAAGGATATGCGTCTAGTCGAACGTAAAAATCGTTTAGATGGATTTGAATGGGTTTGTAGGAAGAAAAGTTCAGATGGTCACTATGTGAAGTGTTCGATCAGAAAGAGTACCTGGTTTGAAAAAAGTCATTTGAGTATGATTGATATTTTGATTTTTACGTGGCTCGGGGTGTACGAAGCGAACTCGAAAATCATGGTAAGTGAATATTTGCTTTTGGTAGTGCTTAAATATATAACATGTTTTTTCTTTTCTATGTTATTTTATTTTTTGGTTTAAAATGTATTTTATTGAGATTTTGCATTTTTTTTTCCCCTATATTGTAGAATTTGGTGCTCCTTTGACTTTTTAAGTGTAAATATATCAATGTGTACATGGACAAAGTAAAGGGAGTGTGCAATGCAAGTTTGTGCAATTCTGGGAT